TTCTCTTCTCATTCATGTGCCACTCACTTTCAATCAGGTTCATAAACCAAGTGAACATCCTAATCAACAGTCCACAAGACCCCATGTCCTTGGTCACCTCAGAGTACGTGTCTGAGCTTTTGGAGAAGGGTTATTTGTTGAACACTGTGGGGAACAGGTTGTTCTACGCAGCTCTGCCTCTTCTGCTTTGGATCTTCGGGCCAGTTTTGGTGTTTTTGTGTTCTGCCACAATGGTGCCTGTGCTTTACAACTTGGACTTTGTGTTTAATTGCACTGAGAAGAGGAAAATAGATACTGGTAGTGAAAATAGGGCCGAGTTTGTATGAATCGGCCACTTATTTTTAGAGCTCCTTGGCCACGTGATGTGCACGTGGGTGAGGGCGGATCAAAGTGAAGATGTTGGTGCATGGTATAATTAGAGGGAAGAGGAAAGTAAGAGTATTATCGAAGCTGAAGAAATTGTATAAATTAATGCAACCATGTCATCTTTGATCCAATTTATATTGGTATAAATGAATGTCGTATTGTCGTTGTCTTTTTCTTCCTTAAAGTTTTGGCCAGTATTTATTTGGGAAGACTAGCACACATGGTGATGTCAAAAACAACATCAATTGCTCCTTCAGACAAAGTTACAGTTAATCAAAATTAATCAATTATTCCCTCGGATAAAATTCTGAATTCGAATCCCGTTTAAGTAGTATGATTTGAATTTAGACGTCTCAAATCTAAATCACTCAATCCAAACCAACCCTAAAACTGTTCGACAAATACATCAAATTTCCCTTATGATATAAAGACATATAGATGACACAAAGAGAGTGGAGGAGGATCTGAATGGGTTGCATAACCCCACGACATGGGACAAATGTCCGATGTTTCCCATCATCCATATCCATGATCCTTCTACCAATTGCCCTTGTCATTTCCATTTCAATCACTTCTCAATTCTTGTAGAGACGTACATGAATAACACCTAGTAGGCTAGGATGACTTCATGCCAAATCATAAAAGAAAACCAAGAATCAAAATAAGATTTTGTGTTTCGTGATCATAAGAGCACTATAGACATAAATCCTTCATTTAAGGATTTAATTTGATCTTCTCGAATCTCTCCAAGGCCTTGGTTGCTTTTTTACCAATAAATGTTCTTCTAAAAATAGAATATATGTGGCGTAAAGCAAATATAGTGGATCATCATTTAGCTAGTGTGTACGTTGTTTTATAAGGGTATTTTTGAATGATTTGATGTGTTCTATGAAAATAGGATTCTTTTTTTTTTCTTTTTTTTTAATATAAAAAAATGTGAATTTACCATATTATTCTCATTTAATTAATAATTTCAATTTTTAATGTTTGCAATAATCAAAGGTATTTTCTGATATTTTAAATGTTTTACCATTCTTTGCTTTTTGCTTTATATAGAAGATGATTGTAATTGGAGCCAGGCTTTGCGTTCCATTGTTTATTTTTAATTAATCATTAAATTCTCTTAGCTCCGGCTAGGTTTTTCAACAACAAAAAAAAAAAACAATAAAACGACGTCATCTAGAAAATATATATATTTTTTGGTTGGTATAGTAATAAAAAAAGTGAAGAGTGCAAAAAAAGAAAAGTTAATTTCAAATCTGACGGAAAACCGATGGCCAGATCACAGTTGCCTTCTTCGCACGCCCAAAACCCAGTCCTCTGGGCGATTTCAGGTACTACAGTCGACAATCTCATGTTTTGATTTCTCTTCGATTTTTTGTCTTTTAACTCTCTGTGATTTTGCATAAACCTCTGTTATTTGCTGCTCTTCTTCTTCTTCTTCTTCCTCTTCCTCTGCTTCAATTTTGGCTTTCATTGGATTTTGGCTTGCGTTGGTTGCTTTGGCTTTTCATGTTTTTGTATGAATGTTCTTAGCTAGCTTAAACTAGTTCTATTTCAACTATATATATGCATAGAGATGAAAATTTGAGTCCCAGCAAAGCAAACGGCAGTAGCAAAACACCTTGAGTTGCACTTTCTCCTTTGAAAACATTCGAATATCAGTCTGTTGTTTGTTTTTGTTGTCAATATGAAGTTCATGGCCGCAATGCTAGATTGAATAGCACCAAATAGCTTTGAGCATCTTGGTACTGTGAGATAATCTTGATTTGGGTCTTTTCACAACAGGTAGATATCTGAGGGGCAAGTGGTGAGGTTTGTCAATAACAAAATGTTGTTCTGAAATGTAAAGGGTAGGCTCTGGTTGATGCATATATTCTTATGAGTCAGAAAACAAAAGGGTACCTAGAGATGTATTCACTGCCAACAAATTTTGTAATTCTCATGTTCTTATTCTTCTTCTACTTTGGAGATGTTCTTGTGCTATCTCTCCGTACGCTTTCCATGGATCCTTGCAACCCCACAGCCCAACAGGAACAACAAACTCTCATCTCGGATCAACTAACAGTCCTCATCAATGGTTACTCCGAGTCTCGCATCCCTCTCCTCCAATCCATCGTTGCCTCATATGCAGCCTCATCTTTGGTCTCCTCCATTCTTGTACTCTGGGGAAACCCTTCCACCCCATCCCAAACCTTGGCACAACTGGCCCACAATCTCACACAATCCTCATTTGGGTTCAATGGCATCTCTGTAATCCGCCAAACATCAGGCAGCCTCAATAATCGGTTCCTCCCCAGACCCTCAATTAAGACCCGAGCAGTCTTGATCTGTGATGACGATGTTGAAGTTGACCCTAAATCCTTCGAATTTGCTTTTAAAATGTGGGGATCAAACCCAGACCGTCTGGTTGGGTTCTTTGTCAGGTCACATGACATAGATTTATCAAAGAAAGAGTGGATTTACACCATTCATCCAGACAAGTACTCAATCATGCTCACAAAGTTTATGCTTTTGAAAAGCGAGTATTTGTTTCGGTACAGCTGTGAAGGAGGACCGGTCATGGCACACATGAGGAGGATCGTGGATAAGATGAATAATTGCGAGGACATATTGATGAATTTTGTGGTGGCGGATGAGGTTAATTCAGGGCCTATATTGGTGGGGGCTGAGAGGGCTAGGGATTGGGGGGATGCACGCAATGATAATGATGATGGTGATGGTAATGGACGGCACAAATTGATTGGGGAGGTGGCACAGGTGGGTTTGAGTAGTAGGAAAGGAAAGCATAGGAAGAGGAGAGGGGAGTGTATAGGTGAGTTTCATAGGGTGTTGGGGAGAATGCCTTTGAGGTTTAGTTATGGGAAGGTAGTCAACTCTGTTGGTGAACAAGGGCTGTGTCAAAAAGGGGGGAAATTGGTGTTTTGTGATCAGTCATAGTTGTTTTATTTTTCTTCTTTTTTTTCTGGGAGAGCAGAAATATTGAAATCTTAGAAGGATTAAAATCTCATAAGTTGTATGATGGATTGCCCTTGTTCTCCATTCCATCAAAGGAGCAAAGGGCTATTGTTGTTGTTATTGAGTTCATATTTCTGTACTTTCAATACCAAATAATTCTGAACACAGTTGCTACTATGTTTTACTCTAAAGCGACTTGAGGCAAGGCTTGAGGCTCTTTTGATGGAAAACAAGGAGTTTGCAGATGCTTTGAACGAAGTCCCATGGATTTGCTGTGCAAAATCATGTGAACGGTGCTGATGAAGTCTCCAAAGCAGGCCTGCAATATGTGGGGACAGAGTTAGATGCCATGAAATTCGTTGCAGATGCTCACGGAAAGCAATCCTTGAAGTTGCAGATATTCCTCAGCTGATTGAACAGCCTAGCCTACCGATCATGTTGTTGAGAATTGTCTCGTCATATTCCATGATCGAAGGAAGACGGATGCGGTCCACCCTGCAACTTTAGAAACCATTTACAACGTCGGCAAAGCCGTGGGCAGTCTCTATATTAGTTCTGTCAAGATAATGGCATGAGATTTTCCATTTTTTTGTTTGTGGGAAGCTGCTTGTTGTTGCTGGGTTCATTTGTTCCACAGTTTCTGTAGACTTTGTAGTTGAGAAAGATCAACCAAAGAAAATGCATACAGGCTCTGAGGCTTTGTGACTGTTGTTGTTGTTATTTGACCCAATTGAATGGCTTGGGCTGCTTCTGGATTTACTATATGATTGCCCCTTTAACATCTATACTTACTTTACATTAAGAAACCTCATAATTCACATAAAATAAAGTTTTACCTCAACCCTCGAAAGCTTTAATTTCATTTCTCTTGGACCAACACTGGGATTGGCTATGAATAAGTAAATGCAATCCGCAAATCTCATGAATCCAGGAATGCTTAGCCTTGACCCCATGAGCCAAACTTGCTTTTCTTCAACAAATTTCGGTTCCTACTTTTGTTGAAAAAGTGACAAATAATGTTTAAAAATTGCCAAATACAGTTAGGTGTCATGCTAGAGGCCCTTTCGCACCCTTTTTCCATATCAGAAATTGGCTCTCGCACGTTCTTTGAAACAATTGGGTTCCTTGCATATTTTGGAAAAACGGGTCATCAATCTTAGCATGTAAAACGAGTGCCTCATTTTTTTGAAAGGAAAGACTTCATTCAATTAATCAACATGACAAAGGAATGTCGGCATGGGTAGTATGGCCTCATTAAAACCTCCCTAAAGAAAACCCGATGGGAAAAACTTCAGGGGAGGAAAAAGAGTGCCACATATGCCCGATTACACATGAAGATATTAAATCAAACGACAGTAGGCTCGTGCCAATCATCATAAACAGCATCCATAAGCCACAAAGGACCCACATCCAACCAGATCGACAAACTTTGATCGCGCAGACTGAAGCGGGCAATGCGATGGGCAGCCTTGTTCGCTTGGCGAGGAACATGTCGAACAGCAGTAGACGCGGACCTGACCAGAAGGCGTCGCACTCCATCCACCAGACCTCCCTCAGCAGCAAGGCATTCCTCCTCACTGTTGACCATAGAAACTGCCTGCAAGGAATCAGATTCAATCTCCAGAGGCAGTAGAGACACATCCAACGCAAAAGAGATTCCAACTTTAAGAGCATACAGCTCTGTTGCTAGTACAGAGATCCGACTTGGTGCCCGCATAGCTAGAGCCCCAACCAGATTTCCATGAGAGTCACGGACATCACGCCAGCAACAGAGGGGGAGATACCCCCTATCCCCGCATCATCTGTTGAACGACATCCAGTCATGGGAGCTATCCACGGGCTGGATGGGAAAGCCTCTCGCCGTTGACGCAGTTCAAAAGGAGAGGAGGCCATGTCCATGGCTTCCTCAGAGTCATGACGAGACGCACGCCAAGAGTGCCCTCCGGACCCTTCCCCACCATTCTTTCTCTCCATATGTGACGAGCAATGGCGCCTTGTCCTTCTCATCAAAGGCAGACGGACATCAGCTCGAACCCGGACACGAATAAAACGACCAACACAGTCTTGCCCATCCCTATTGTCCACCCGTATTACCTCACCCACCGTCGATCCAATAGCATTGGCAACAGCCACCGTCATACAGAAACCGGGGACCCCATGTATCTGGAGCCAGAAGGTGCCATGGGTTAGCGTCATCGTATGAATACAGTCCTCCTCAGCCACCGCAGCCAATAAAATCAATGACCTACGAAACGTCCAAGGCTCCATGTCAAGAACCCTTTGGCGGTCCCGATCACAAACAAATCGAACCCAAAAACGATTGTGGGCTATCTCCTTGATCGAAACCTCGTCAGAGCCTTTCCACAGGCTAGTAAAAGTCTTAATAAAATTATCACGGTGAACTTCTTGCTGCGATACAATTTTAGCCACCAGACTATATGGAAACCCAACAAAGCGGTCCGATACTGCCGCACTGCCAATCACCACTCCAACTCGTTCCCGATCAGTCAGATCCAATTGCCGCTCAAAAGAGCTCTCAAAATCCTCCAGGACCATGTCGGCCCCAGTAATATACAGAGCGTGTTCCCCAAGTCACACCACACAACCCTAACCCTAGAAACACTGCACGAGTAAGCACCAGCCCGCAGACACCGCTGTAGCCTTGGAGCAGCCGTCAACCCCTAATACTCGGTACTGAGAAGAAGAAACCCCGTGAAAGACCTAAAACCCTAAAACGGCTCTCCTCGTACGACGAGAGAGCAACCTGACTAGCTTGAAACTTAAAAAACGAGTGCCTCATTAAAACCGGCAAACTACAAGGAGACATTTTGCCTTTCCTGGTGCCACTCATATTCTCCATCCATTTTATTTATAGAGGTAATGGGTTTCTTGAATTGCCCTTTCTGCCTCTAGTATTAGTACAATTCAAACATTTGATTGGGCCACTGCCTAGAGGGCCTCCCTCGGAGCACCCCTTGAGACATGCTTGAACATTTGAAACCCTCCATGTGTAAAGTAGGAGTGCAAAAATCGCTAAATGCATAACTTCTAAATGCAGAGGTTCGGGATCCCTTCCCTTTACAAACATTTAGACACCCTACAAGTGAAGACTTTGCTAGCTAAGCAGAATTTCTGCCGCCGTGTTGAGTAAAATGAGATAATATGTGGGAACTGTATATAATTGTAGTGTAGGGCCATTACCACTAATGAAATAAGTAGAAAACAATAAACCCATAAATGGAACTGACACAAACACTGAAGTGACCCAAAGGTAAACTGGAAAAAGAAGGGCAAGAAAAGAATTAGGAGGGCTCTACCAGTCCAAAGCAAACAAAGACCCTAGACATAATTTAGGACACCTCACAAGAAGGCCTTGTCCTACACGTGATGCAATAATACCACAAATAGAATTTAGAGAGAGAAAATAAGTCCATTTTTGGTACACATAATTAGAGAATTAAGTCCATTTCATTATCATGAAACTTAAAAAATATATATATAAGCGATAGTCTAAACTATAAGGGAGATAATTTCTCATACACACTATTAAAGTGTCATGGAGTTCGAACTTAAGTTTACTGGTTTACAAATCAAAGTTTTTTTTCACTAGACTAGACCCTGTTAACCATCATCATGAAACTTAATAATACCCCAAAGGCAATTTGGAGATAGAAAATCAGTCCATTTTTAGTACACATAATTAGAGAATTAAGTTTTTTTTTTAATGAGAAGAATTAAGTAGTCTATTTCATCATCATGAAACTTGTGATTTTCTTTTGGCCACTTGGCCATTTTAATATTTGCAAGAAATTAGACCACTTTTGATGGTGGCAGTTCTGACGTGGGGGCTTTTCTGATAATTCACCTTTAAAAAGTTAGGTATTACCTGGTCTTAATTAAGAGCAAATAAAGTCATGGAAAAAAAAAAAGCAAAGCTCATTACTTTAAGCACAAAGAAAGTGAAGGAGGAAACCTCCTTTTTAGCAAGGCATACAAAGCATCTACCAGGCATCTTTGTGTTTTTAGGTCGGTGCTTGTCCAAATCAAGCTCCCCTCATTGCTTTGCCCCCCACTTAAAATAGTCCTTAGAGATCCACTCTATTTACCTAAATACACCACAAAAGCCTTTATGCTTGCCTTCACGGCATTAATTTATTCATGCCTTTGCATCTAGGGCACACTTAAGATGGAAGATTACATAAGGTGGATCATTGGTGGTTTTTGACTGCATTTCATTGGTGGCCACCATGGTTTCAAGCTTATCCAAATTCATTAAGGAATTAGAGTCTTTCCTTGATCAAATTCTCTAATTCAATCTTTATCCAAGAAATTATAACTCTATATTTTGTAAACAATTCATAGTCATCCGTGAGCATGAACGTCAAAGTTATCTGTGAGCGTGAAAGATTGATGTCTTATTTGTACCCTGAACCCATCAAACTATGTCCAATTGAGAGAAAATACTAGCCTAGCATTACCAATTGAGAGAAATTTGAAATTGTTATAGCTCTTCATACTATTAAAATCATTGAAACTATGTCCAATTCCTATGGACAATGACGTGTCAAGTAATAACAACCAAATCGAGAAAGGGCATATCATTATGATAATTCATTAGGTGACTTCGCATGATAGCAAGTCTAACCTATTTAAATATGTGGACCCAAATATAATCTTTCAACTAATTTCATCTTCAATTTTATCATTGGTCCTATCCAAATAAAAAAAAAAAGAAAGACTTTGGAAAAACACAAAGGAGAGAGAAATTTTGTAAAATAAGCAAAAATAGACAAAATTACACTTATTTATTTTTGGATTTTCTAAGGAATCCTTTACATTTGCATGTCTTTGATTTGAAAGTTAAGAGGTTTTTCTGTCTTTTTTTAAAAAGCTTTGACTTTTTCTAAAAGTGAATATTTTTTTTTTTTGCTAAAACCTAAATTTACTTAAAAGAAATTGGTACTGGTCTTGGAAAATTTAGTCTAACTTTCCTAGTGAATTACAACTAGGACAGTTGCTCATTCCAAATTCAATTTTTTTTTTCCTCCTAACCCTCTTACTATAATGTAATATTTTCATAAAGTTTGGATGTTACGTGATCGCATTCTTAATTCAAAACCGTATACTAAAACATGATTTCATGTACATAATAACTTTAAAATATTTTCGATTAGTTTTTATTTGGGCATATTTTTCTTCTTAATATTGAAAGAGATCTCAACTTCGAATACACCGGCTTCATCCATCCAATAGTAATCAAAAGGAAAAGGGTAAAATATTACTAGGCAATTACCTATTCAATGTCTCCTTTAGCCCTCGGTCACAAGTTTTCTTGTAGACTGTGGACCTAAAAACACCTAGCAGATTCAGGTGAGCCCACTCTAAATCAACTTGTTTCGTGTCAGCATCCTGATTCTTTCTAGATTCTAGGAATCAACGGTTCAGATCTTCAAAAATTATAAAATATGAATTGCATTACTTGCACACGAAGAACCCGCCATGCTTAATTACCATACCACCCACGATCCGCCAAGTCGAAAACACACAACAAAAGAACAAATCACCCCCGCCATTTCGCCCAACGAGGGAGGGTATTTTGGTAATCTAAAAACACACCAAACTTTTAACTTCATGTGCCGCCCACTTTTTCTTTACGTACTTTGCCTCATGGCCCTTTCCTATTTATACCTCCCTCCGTCTGTTCTATTTCCCTCCCCCTTCCCTCTTTCTCTCTCTGCTAATCTCACCGGAGGTAGCACAGA